TAAATTAAAATACAGGGATGGCTCAATGTATTTGGAGGCCTAAAGTGAAATTTCAATTAAAGGCCTAAATTTTTTTAGCTAGCAATTATTATATAAATTGTTAACATTATTCTATAAGTAATAAGTTGACAAAACTGCTTATAAGCTTCTTCTTCTTTTTGTTTAAAAATACATAAAATAAGTCAATCTAAACATGCTTGTAATTCACTTTATCCAAAACATGATTTTTACTATTGATTCATATTTTTGATAGAGTTGTAACTTACATATAGTATAAAAGGGGTCTAGAAAATTACAGTGTGAGAGTTAGTGAAGAGAATGCAAGAAGACAAAACAACATTTTTCTTGATTTCTTCTATTTGATTGAGGTTAAGGAGAATAAAATAATATATATATTTTTTAAGAAAAATACATTTATCTTAGATAATTATTTTTTTCTATAAAGAAATTAACACATAATTTATTGTGGTAAAAATTAGAAGCCCCCTAAAATTTGGGGACTAAGGCATATGCCTAATTTTTATAAGCATTGAGTCGGCACTATTAAAATATGATACTTTTTTTTATTATACACATTTGTCTCAATGAGCCGTAAAATGACAGACGTTTTCTAGTTTGAAATTGATGTGTATAATTAAGGAAATATATATCATATTTCATGTGGTTAACTTACTACATGAAAACACACATAACTTCTTTTTCTTTTTTGAAATCTGAACCGAAAATGTTTAATTAGACCACTTTAATAAAAAATGAGGTATTAAATGAAAATTCAATTTAGTCCAGATATCATTAAAAAATATTCTAAAAAATTTAAGAAACTTATTATATATCAAGCTGAAAATAAAAGAGAAAATAAGATACTTTTAAACTCCAAAAAAATGGACATAAAAAGGAGAGAGGGGCCGCACGGGTGGAACAAGACTTTGTTGGGCTCTGTCTTTTCTTGCTGCTTCATACTGCTCATGACTGTCCCTCCCACCCACCGGCCTCCTCTTCCGAAACAACGAAATAATACGATAACTGAAATATTATAAATAATTAATGACAATGCATATTCAAAAAAATAAAATTTTATAATGGTCATCGAATTATTGATATTAGACTTCTAGCTCTAGCCCTACTATTAACTGTAAAAAGTGTCAACACGAGTTGTGGTGCACTGATGTAAGTGTTTCACCCTTAGCTGAAGGTTTCAGGTTCGAGCCCTGAGTATGAAAAAAATCATGTTGGAAGCGCAAAAAAAAAACTCTAAAAAGTAGTCTCGCGTATGATATTTGCACAATAACTAAATGTAATTTAATTAAGTTAATTAAAAATATACTAAATGTAATATATATATATATTAATAGAAAATAGAAGTAGTTATTTTATATTTATTGATTTAACTTATATAAACAAGTTTTGCCCTCACAATCAACTAGTCTATCTATCCTCCATAGTTTTACTTCGTTTTAGTTATTTCGGTTATCATATTACTTATTATTGGTATAATATAATATTATTTATTTGTCTTATTTTATATGACTTATTTTTCTTTTAATCCGTCTCTATTTATAACAATTTGATTCTAAATTATCCATTTTATTATTAATGAAATGATTTATAGTCATACAAATATTTATGATTTATTTTAGACCACAAGTTTGGAAAGTCTTTCTTTTTTAAACTCCATGCCATGACAAACTAACTCATATAAATTAGGACGAAGTTATGCTTTTCACTCATCCGAACCGTTATGTTTTTTTTTAGTCGAGAATCTTTCAGAACACTCTTTTATCTTCAACAAAGTAGGATATAATGTCTGTGTACGTATCATCTTCTTTATTTAATCGATAAAATTATACTGAATATGTTATTATCGGTATTATCTACTCTCCATAGGCACGTTCCTCCAAGGATTCTTGCTGTCGGTTTAATTACTCCCATATCTCTAGCTTTTCACATCTTCTATTCTCATATTCATACTATATACCAAAAAAAGAAATTTTAAAAAAATGTTTTCATGTAGCACTTCCATGATTTTAGCATAATTTTATTATTTAAATATTTTTTTGAAATAAATTAAAATAAAAGTATAACAAAGATCGAGGAAGTGGTATATACATTGGAATACTGGTTTGTTCAAAAAACAACAAATAAATAAATAAGTGAAATCTCATAGTGGAGAATAGTTAGTACTAGGAATCACCTTAAACGATATTAACAATATTATTATTAATAGCAATAAATACTAGTTAACAATGCAACTCTCCACTATGTTACTTTTAAATGTATTATTTTTTATTAGGGAAAAAGTCTGAAATATATTTGAATTTTGATCGAAATTGTTGTAATAATATCGATCCTTGGAAAAGACCTTTTACCCCCTGGACTATTTAATAGTGTATTTTAAAGGTATATATGTGCTCACGTGGACATCATAAATATTTCATCATTATAAACAGTAACGTGTCCACGTGGGCACATATATACCTTTAAAATACACTATTAAGTGCAAGGGGTAAAAGGTCCTCCATAAAGTTTGATAACGTAACATCAATTTCGGCCAAAGTTAGAGTATTTTCAGACCCTTTTATTACAATTTATTTAATATATAAACAATTTGATATTCTTTATTTGTTGAAAATTCGTGCTTCTTTACAATTCAATTTTGACTTCCAGAAATTGGACCACTACTTATATATATATATATATATATATATATATACACACATATATAATCTACTATATATCGGTACTCCCTCTATGACATTTATGTTTAGGCAGTATATATTTAATTGATAATGGATTTTAACAAATGTAAAAAACAAGATTTTTAATATATGTCAAAAAATAATCTTAAAAAATCAAATTTATAATCTAAAATATGCTATAATATTTATAAAGTTCTAAAACATGTGATAAGTAGTATAAAATAAAAAAAGTTTAAAAAGTTTCAAATATATAAAAATGTATTCTGTTAGATTTTTTTTACAAATATTGTTATATAAAATCAACGAAAGAATATTGATTTAATACTTGTACAATTTACCGTAAAAATTATATGTTTTTTGCAACGGCTCGATACGTTATGAACATGATTACTCAATAGATGTGTTGATAAGAGATATATCCAATGAAAATTAATTGAAGTACACATAAATTGATCTGATCAATATCGTAATAATTTTTATTTTATTTTTTGTGGTAGGGATGAGAGGTTGTCTTTCAATAGATATGGAGAAAAAAGGGTAAAGAAGAAAGATGCTTAGCTTTCCAATTGATTTAACGCCAAATAATGCCAATTATTTCCACATCATACTCGTGTGAGTTTGTAACTTCGAGACTGTAGAAGAGAATATTGTGAACATAAATTAAACTTTTATATTCCCTAAAAAGGGAATATTGTTGGTCGCCAAAATAAGTATCGCTTTAACAAAATAAAATTATTCTCGAATTAGCAAGTTAAATGTTATCTCAAAATAATTGTTCTTTTTAGAAATTCAAGATAAGAAATAATAGTTATTTCGGAATATATCTTTGTATTATAGAATTATTTATTTTTAAAAGTGTTTAATTTTCAAGAAACATCTACTATAAATAAGGATAACTTAGTGAAATGTACCTTTTTTCTAAAATAAGTTGAAATGAGCTAAAACGATATTTATTTTCGGATGGATGGAGTAAGGATCAAAGTTGCACATATTCTTTCATGGAGAATTTTAAAAATTAAATAAACCTCTATATTTCATTTTAAAAAGATTTTGGCCCTCATAGATAATAATTATAATAGTAATTTGAAAGGACTTGAGGCATTATTGATTTGCTTTTTATTGTTACAAAAAAAAAAAAGCAAAATATTGTGGGACAGACAATCTAAAGCAAATAGTTTAAATGATTTTTGGGCCTGTCTAGTTTTAGGTTAACAATGATTCAAGATTGATTAGAATGTCTGAATTACAAAAACATTTTTAGTTGGTGTTTGGGAAACAAATAATTATAAAGTTACAAAAATAGAATTATTTCTTTTTAAAAGTGTTTAATTTTCAAGAAACATCTACTATAAATAAGGATAACTTAGTGAAATGTACCTTTTTTTCTAAAAATAAGTGTGAAATAAGCTAAAATGACATTTATTTTCGGATGGATGGAGTAAGGATCAAAGTTGCACATATTCTTTCATGGAGAATTTTAAAAATTAAATAAACCTCTATATTTCATTTTAAAAATATTTTGGCCCTCATAGATAATAATTATAATAGTAATTGGAAGGACTTGAGGCATTATTGATTTGCTTTTTATTGTTACAAAAAAAAAAAAAGCAAAATATTGTGGGACAGACAATCATCATAATAATTGTTTTACACAAGCTAATATTTTGTTTTATAGAATCCTCTTATTAACCCAATGGTTAACTAATTAAGTACCTTATACCCTTCATAGTTTCTATGGCAAAAGACAAAAAAAATAAAATTAAAATAGTGAAACACCAAAACTAATCCTCACTAGCGTCATAAAAATCCATTTACATATATTAAGAAAAAAAAAGTGATGAAGAAGAAGAATGATTTATCAAATGTTCAAGGAAATATGAAGCAACAATGATCAGAAATGACAGTTCAGTGCACGAAGCATTCTGTATTCTTGTAGCATTTGAAGAAAAGTCGTATAGGAATATGAAATAAACAATCAATACATACACTAACACAATCATTAGTTATTGATTCCACGACTCAAAGTTTTAACATATAGATCATACTGAGACGATTTTACTATGAAGCAATAATGATGAACCAAATCAAGAATCCAAGATTGAAGAGTACTAAAGTAAAAACCAAGAAGGCTTCAATATCAATATAATCAAGCAAATTAGAAATACAATTTTTTTTTAAAAAAAGAATGAGCTATAAGTTCCAACTTTTTTGAGGATAATTAATATATATCAACATACTCTTAAATAATGATATCTCTAAGTACACCTTCTATACAAATCTTCAAATCTTCATATCTTCAAACATTCATTCTTTCCTCTCATGCCAACACACAAGCATAGCAATACATCTTCTTACAATATAAAACTTAGCCCTTTGCTTCTTTGCTATATGACTACACTTTTTTCCAAATGATTTTGTTGAGTTTTGTGATGAATTATTAATGTTGGAGTTGTGCTCTTCATCACTTTCTCTAATTGGTTCCATATGAATATATGAAACAAAAACAAAAAGAAGGAAAGCTATTTATACTACTACTTCTGCAAGCTGCAAATTTGCAGCTTGTGGCAGTGGATATATATATAAATATAATATAATTATTTACTTTATTTTATACTACTATTGATTTGAGACTTTGAGTTACCCTTGTTTTAGTCTTTTACTATTTTCATCTAGTACTAGTACATTTGGTTGATCTACAATGTGTACAAATTTACCTATTGCAATATTATGCTAGATAAAAATGGTTCTTTTGATTTTACTATTATATATTCTCTTGGTCCCATACTCCCATTTGATATGTGACTGTGTTTTACTGTTTACGAAAAAATAATTGGCTTTTGAAACTTTTGCAGTAAAATCGGAATTTAGGGTTAAATTATTTTTACGATTAATAACATTTTTTATCCCTCGGTTTTGGTAAATTATGATTTGTTCATTGTAATTATATTTGTCTAATTAAGCATATTTTATCTCTTTGCTTGTGAAAACTCATAAATTTTTAAAAATATTAATTGTTCTGTCGTTTAATTACTCATATGTTATATTAAAATTTGTATTGTTTCTTTAAATGCGAGAATAATTTACCTTGAAAATAGTCAAAATATAATATATTTCCTACATAAAAGAATCAAAGCACACATTTTAACTTATTGAAGGTTAATTAATTATGTTTCCTTTTTAATTTTTTTGGGTCAAATATTACCAGAATTAAAATAAGAATTTATTGATAATTGACACTACTAAAATAGGGCCTTTTTGGCGAATACAATCAATTTTAAAGGACTATCGATTAAATGAAACACCCTATCTTTTAGTAGTTTGAGGGACTAAAAGTGCTATTATTCCTTATTCCGAATTATAAAAACTTGTTCTATTTTTTTAAAACTAAAAATAAAAGTATATCATATAAAATATAATAATAAAAAGTAATATTATTTTTAAATTTTGATGGTATCTTTTTCTTGGTCAAGGTTCTTGAAGTCTAAATTTATACCTTTTCACACATGATGAGTTAATATGAAAGGGTTAATCTTTGATAAATATAGGACTATGATATTAAGTCAGGGCTAATTGGTACCATTGGTTTGATAAACAGACAACATCTGTAAACAGTACTACAAGTACCCCATTTTGACTGAATTAATTGACCGTTTCAATTTGTTCGTCTTATTTATTTTTTAAGCTATTTTAAAAAAAAGTTGTGGCTCTATAAATAAATGTTATTCGTTCTAACATAGTAACATTCATAATGTAATTCTATGGGCTTTGAAAGTTTTGTCTAGGGAGGAATTGGCGGGACACAAGTGATACGTTATCATTTGTATGAACCTCTTTGTAATTCAAGTGAATTGGGTGAAGTTATTTCTTTCTATATTTTGTACTCTCATATTTATATAGTGGATTGTTCATATCCTTTGTGGATGTAAGTCGATTAACCAAACCATGTTAAATCTTTGTGTCTTATGGTATATTTCTCGTTTGGCCACTTACTCGTGGTCTTTCGAGGTTTGCTTTGTTAACTTTTGTATGATCCACCTAATTATTTCGGTCCTAACAAGTTCTAACTTTCTACATGACATGTTTAAAATCATAAGATTAAAAAACATATTTTTCGTATCTTTAGTTTTAAGATCACAAGATTCAGAAGTCTTCTTTATTTTTTCAAACTTCGTTTTGGATAATTATGAGCTTAATTAGTTAGATGGTTGGTTAGTCGTCTTAACTTTCACTTTATTTGTAAGAGTTTAATTCTCCATATTATAATTTTTTATTTATGTCAAATTAAAATCAGACAAATAAATTAAAGAGCGCATTAATTATGGTTTTGGCCTTATTATTGCTGTGAAAATTGATGCCAAAGCTGCAACTTGCAAAGCTTTTTGTTCACTGCTTCTACTTTTTGGTCATGGTCTTTTAACTGTTACTCTACTATAAATGTGTGTTGCAAAATTTTTCCACGTTATTTCCTTTTAAAAATATGTTTAAATTACATTTGGAAAAGACAACTGGCGGTCGTTGGGCATGGTATGATATGGTACGGTATTTAAAAATTTTGATATCATAACTTCGGTAGGTATCTAAAGTACTATATCATTATCATATCAAATTAGCTCGATATGATTTAATATATTTAATTTTAGTTTTGATATTTTACAATATGATATTCAATAACTATAATTTATTTGACTTCGATTTACATATATTTATAACTCTCCATACGATTCATTTAGCCAAAAAAAACAAAAAAAAACTGTTGAAATAGGGGAATTAGAGGCATGTTCACGTGTATAATCTGTAAGACCATATTAAATATCTACCCTTTTTTGTTGACCAAATTAAATACCTTTCAAACTTCACAGTGCACGTGCTTATATTATTAAAGGAAAAAAACAGAAAAAATAACAGCTCTTAATTAAATATATGTCCGTTTATTTTTACTTGTCTATAATAAAATTTTATATGTTTCTTAAGAAATAATACATAAAATATGTATTTTATCATAATGTCCATATTGATTGGTGTATTTATAAGTAGTTAATATTAAGTGTAAATAAACAAAAAAATTATCTTTATCTTGATATGCTGAAGTGAACAAGTAAAACCTTTTAGTATATAGTTAAAACTTAATAAGAATTGAATAAGTTGAAGTATAACTTTCATTTCAACTCATTTAAGCCCAAGGAACTTTGATCCATTCACATTCAATTCATCTTATCTGTTCATATTCAATCTAACTTGCCTATTTAACACCTTTGATAAGCATTAAAATACAAATACCAAATTTCAAACCGAAACAAAAGAACTTTGAGTTACCAAAGCACTTTAGTACGTACAACTTAAGTTCAAAGGTAGTCCAACTTACATTACTATGCAAAAAAAAATAAAAAATGATAAAGATTTGGAAAGATTTGTCAAAACAAAACTAGTTTCAAGAACACTATTGTGTACTGTGCCGTGGGGGTGGGTGGGTGGGGGGATATGAAAAATAAAAGGTAAAATCTAATAAAGGATGCATTTGGTATGAAGACAAATATTTTTAACACAATAAATCTTATTTATTTTTTTATTTTTGATAGATAAGTAAAAAAATATTTGTATATAATTGAGACACAAATAGTACTATGAGAGGTCACTACAATAAAAGAAAAATTTAGTCGTAATAGATTTTACTTAATATTTATGTAAAGATATGTAGCACAAGTAAGTTAATATGGGGCCACTAAAGCCTTTAGTGGAACTTAAATAGAGTGTTAGTTAATATTACTCTATATATTATTACCGTTAAATATAATACAACAACAATTATATTATAAATGCAAAATCATTATTTATTGTAATGCGTGAGCATGGGTAGATAGGGGTGTGCAATGGTGGAAATGGGGGCTCCCGGGTGGGGTGAAGATAAGGTGTGTTGGAATACTAGTGAAATTTATTTTTTCTATTTTCATTAGAAAAGTCGTTTTCCTCAATTTTAAGAAATTTGTTTTCCTCGAGAGTTGCATTTTATTCGCCTCTCAGCCGATAGGAATTAGGACTATATTCTTCCATCTTTAATTAGAGGTCTCAAATTTAAACACTAAATATATAATATTTTTGTCTTTGTAAAGGAACATTTTACCCCTCCAATATGATTTTTTTTTTATAAGAATCCAAATTTTATTGCATCTCAGCATTAATATCGAGCACTAGATAAGAACTCGAATTATTTTTTGGTCAATCACAAGTTTTATAAAATACTACTTTAATCTAAAATTGGTTTCAAACTACTATTTCATGATAAAGAAACTATAATTATACAAATTTTCTACCATATTCGTTGATTCTCTTTTTAATTTGAAATAATTGCATTTTATCTTACTATTTAATAATTTCATACAAGATTTCAAGACAGATACATGTGAATCACAATAGATACACTTTATATACATGTATCTAGTGTGACTCACATATATTTGGGATACCGGATACGCGAACAAAATATGAGAGTGGTGAGTAAGTTGAAAGTTAATTAGCGAGCGAGATTTATCTATGTATCACAATTATAAATACATGCAAATTACACTAGATACACAATATATACATGTATCGGGTGCTATTCATATGTATTTGGGATACCAGGTACACGAGAGATATGAAAGTGGCGGGAGAAGTGGGAAGGAGGCGAGCAAGATTTATTTATGTACCCTAGATACATGTGAATCCACTTTGATACCGTATCTAGAACAAATTATATCTGATTTTCACTCATTAATTTCGATATACATATATCTGGACACACCAAAATTTGGTAAGATTCGTAATACTACAAACTAGTGTTATATAATTAATCAGCTCCTAAACTAGTGAAGTTTACTAAATTACCCATTCATGATCCAATAGTAAGTCCATCTGACCAACATATATTGGGCTGAAAAGTCGGACCAAAACCTTTAAGGCTCAAGCCCAATTTCGGCCCATATATCGATTTCACACATATGTTCCTCTTTTAGGCTAATCATTGAGATCTATACTTCTTAAAAATAATATAATGTGATCTAATATATTTTAATAAAAAATTTAATTTGTTAAAAAAAAATAATCTTTAGAACGTGGTATAGAAGAGAGGAAAAGGACGATTAATGATTAATCAGTTTGAAAAATTAAGAAATAACACACATGTTACAATAAAAAAAATCAAACTATTTAAAAAGAATTACGCGTTTCTCCTTGCAAAAATGAATTTGTGGCCATCCACGACTTGAGGAAGTCTAGGTGATGCAAAGTGTATTCTCTGTACAAATTCTATATCCGTCATATTATGGTAAAAAAACTTGCTATTTTTTATACTCATGATGATGTATTTATACGTTACAAGTATGGTATACGAGAAAAATAAGCTATTGAATTAATGGACTCGACCCAATAGCTATTTCTATGTTATTGTCCCCCATGTATTGTAAATTACTGGGCCATAAGCAAGTAATCAACTACTAATTAGGTGAAGAGTCAAAAACAATTATTGAGTGTC